GGCCCAGCCAGCCCCCATGAATGGGCTGAGCCCCTATGGCAGCATGAACCCCTGCATGAGCCCCATGGCCTACACCCAGTCCAACCTCAGCAGGACGCGGGACGCCAAGACTTTCAAGCGGAGCTACCCCCATGCCAAGCCACCCTACTCCTACATCTCCCTCATCACTATGGCCATCCAGCAGGCACCCAGCAAGATGCTGACGCTGAGCGAGATCTACCAGTGGATCATGGACCTTTTTCCCTACTACCGGCAGAACCAGCAGCGCTGGCAGAACAGCATCCGCCACTCACTCTCCTTCAACGACTGCTTTGTCAAGGTGGCCCGCTCCCCCGACAAGCCCGGCAAGGGCTCCTACTGGACCCTGCATCCTGACTCCGGCAACATGTTTGAAAACGGCTGCTACCTCCGCCGGCAAAAGCGCTTCAAGTGTGAGAAGCCGGCCAACAGCAAAGCCCCTCAGGAGGGCAGGAAAGATCAGGCCGGGGCCTCCAGTTCCAGCTCCAACTCCCCCCTGCACAGAGGCCACAATAAACCTGCGCAGCTGGACACCGCCACCTCCCTCTCCAGCTCCAATCCGTCCACCAGCCCCCAGTCCATGGACCACAGTGGATCGACCACAGAGCTAAAGACCTCGGCTTCGGCCTCCTCCTCCACCATCAGCTCCGTCCCTGCTTTGGCCTCTGTCCCGCACCCCCCTCACTCCTTAGCCCACGAACCCCAGCTCCACCTCAAGGGCGATCCCCACTACTCCTTCAACCACCCCTTTTCCATCAACAACCTCATGTCCTCCTCAGAGCAGCAGCACAAGCTGGACTTCAAAGCCTACGAGCAGGCGCTGCAGTATTCCTCCTACGGGGCCAGCATCCCCGGCGGGCTGCCCCTGGGCAGCGCCTCCATGGCGGGCCGGAGCAGCATCGAGCCCTCGGCCCTAGAGCCCTCCTACTACCAAGGTGTGTATTCCAGACCCGTGCTAAACACCTCCTAGCTCTGCCCCCTCCCCCCGCTGGGGGCGAGCCCCTCTTCCCCGTCCCCTTTCCCCTTTCCTGGCTTCTCTTTCCCCCTTCCCCTCTCCCTGCGCCAAACCGAGGTGTTTCTGCACGCTGCGTGCAAAGGACTGTTACTTTTTAATTGTCTTGCAAGGCGTTGTGTGTTGTTATGATCCACCACGACCTGCTGCAAAACCGGCCCCGTCCCGCTTGTACATACCCCCCGCCGCCCAGCCCCGCTCCCCGGAGACCCCCGCCAGCCTGTGCCGGGTGTTACTAAAAAGAAGAAAAAAAAAAAAAATGTTGAGCTTGTAAACTACTTGTTTGTGCTTTCCGCCCCCTCATCTGCCCCCCTTCTGTGCTCTATAATCTCATGTAAGTTTACAGGTATGTGGCAATACTTTAACAATACGGAGATGAAGAAGCGAGTAGACATTTAAGGCTTTTTTTAATTAAAAAGGCTTTGAAGGACAATACTGCTGTGAAGTAGCAAAACACTAAGAGAATCTCTAAGCAACAAGAGGACTATTTACTTTCTCGGATCATCCTTTTGATACTTGCAAAATAACCCTTCGGCTAGTACAACCCGCAGACACCCAGATGCTGCGGGCCGGATCCTGCACTCCCGGGGGGACCAGCTGGAGCTTTGGAGTGCAGGATGCGACCCTTATTTTTTTTTTCCAAGTGTTACCTGTCTTGGGATGTAATATAAAGTTACAAGAGGTCACAGCCAGTTGGATATTTTTTTCCTTCCCATCTGTTACTGAAGATTCTCGTTCATCAGGAACTCTCATCGACATGTGGATGACATGCTTATTTAATTTAAGTGTCTCTTCATTGTGTACCAGCTAGAACTGTGTATCCATAACAAGGTTATTTCCCCCGCTTCCCCAGGAAACATTGGCTATTAAACCGACTCAAGAAGAGGAGAGCTCTTTCTCTCTCCCCTTTTCCAACTTATTTAATAAATTCCACATCCAATTTTTATTTGTGTGTGTGGCCGTTTAATTATCGCCATCGTTAGCCTGTTTCATCCAGTGTTAATGCACTTTCCACAGTTTTACACGGTGTTAGCATAGCCAGATGGGTTTTATTATTATTCCTGTTCGCTGTCTCAATGTTCTTAATTTATTGCATGGTTTATATTTTTTTTTCTTTCTTTACAGATGGAAATTGCTTTAAATGACAGTAAAAAAAGAATTACACGTGAATTTAAGAAATTTTGTTAATTTTATAAATGTGATTGTAACTGAAAGAAATATTTTGATTTAAAACGATAACTGAGAATTTAATGCGTGAAGTATGTTTTTGATCATTTGAAGTTAAGGAGTTTAAATAAATCAAATGTTAACAATTAAAGACTTCTGCTATTTTCTTTTACAATTTCTGGAGCGGGTTGAGGAGGACGGAGCCATGGGCCAGAAAAAGAAACGTGGCGCTGAGGGGGATGCGAAGAGGGTTGAAGGGCCAGGTCTGCGGGGGGCGCGGCGTTGCCGCGGGAAGGAAGGGGACGCGCCCGCGGGGCCCTGCGATGCCACCGGCGAGTGTACGTGGTGGTGTGGGGTTTGTTCGTGGTGGTTTTGGTGAGGTTTTGTGGGTTTTTTGCTTGTTTGTTTTTTAATTCAGGGTGGCAGGGTA